TGCATCGACTCATTGACTCTTCAGCAATCCCTCACACTAAGCATGCTTGTAGCGACAGTGGAGAGGAAAAACTCCCTTTTAACAGGAAGAAACCTTTTAATCCTATGTTGTTTTTTTGTTCTTCTCTTTCCTCTTTGACTTTCTTCTTTTGTTTCTATCTGTTGTTTTTTTGTTCCCCTCCTCCACTCATCCCTCGCTCTCTGTTTTTTCTTCACTCATTTTACATGTCTAGGTTGTTCGAGTTTCGCAGCAGAGTGTCTCCCATCCCTCGGGTGGTGCCGGTCAAACGTCCCAGGGTGGCGGTACCGCTGGTTCGACGTGTCAAATCTCTGCCGGTCAAAGTGTTAGCATGTAGCGCCTCCGTCCTTCCCACCAACGGAAACAAAAAGAGACGTGAGTTCTTCCCATATGAATAAATGACATTTTAAGGTGGATCAATTTGTTTTATTTTCATTGAACCATCAGGGCTTCACTGCTACACAGGGCTGAAAAAAATTTATAAAAAATTAAAATATGATTAAAAAAAAATACTGATTCTCCCAAAAAATGGTTTAATCAGATACATTAGGTTGGATCTAGAAGTCTGAAAAATGCCTTTTGACTTTAGTTTCTATCATTTGAATAATGATTATTATTTATTTGTTTTGTTGTTGTTTTTTGTTACATTTTATTTCCTGTTGAGATTTTAGAATTTACATGTTTAAAATAAAAAATAAAAACACATCAAACAATCATCCATTCATTTTGATTTTTGACTAAAGAAATTTTGTAAATGAGGTTAGTAGAAAGAATCGGCATCATCCCATTCTCAGAGTTGGAACAGTTCAAGTGGATCAGGTTTATGTTGGGAAGGTTTGAAACGCAGAAACACAATCAGTTTACTTACCAAAGGTTTTTACAGTTTTTACGACTTTTCATAAATGTTTATAGTGCCACTAGAGATCAGGTCAACCTCTCCCTCTCTCCTACTAAAGTTCCTTCTTCTGCAGACTTTTTACGTCAACTTTATTTCAAATTTACCACCATGTAAAGAGACACTAATGTGGAAAAATAAGCCATTTCCAACCCATCAAAGCCCAACAAAGCAGTCTATCAATCCAAAGTGTAAAGAGCCAGAAACTGGACCTTTTCAGGGTCCATTAGATCAGCAACCAGATCAGCCTCCTCATGGGAAGATGGATGAACGTGAGCTATGATTTATTTCCTGATAGCCTGAGGTTCAAAAGTTTATTGAATGACGGTGGATCTGAAAGACGCATCCAACCGACCTGCTGCCAGTGGCCTGAATCCTAATACTGATTCTTTTTTTTTTACGGCACTAGGAGAGGGGGTATGAGAGAAAAGGGGGGAGACATGCCCAGGTTGGCTGCGTCGAGGACTAAGGCCTCCATACATGGGTTGTGCGCGCTAACCACTGCGCCACCTGCACACCCACTGATTCATCTTTATTCTTTTCTCCTTGCTGCCAACTAAAGTATGGAGGATAAAAAGTGCCAAAATTAAATAAATAAATACAGCATTAAATAAATAATTAAATGTGTCAATAATTAATTAAATGTGGAATTAAATAAATAAATGTGTCTTTCATTAATTAAAACCACGTCACTAATATAAAGCGCCACAATCAAATAAATAAACACAGCGATAAACCATTAATTTAATGTGTAATTCATTAAATAAATAAGAAATTAAATATATAAATGTGTCATTAATAAAATACGTCTTCATTTTGTTAAAAAAATATATATAATTATTTCAGTGTGCATTTAATTATTTCATGGTCCTGTGTCGCAGTGCATCCAAACCATTAAAAGAATCTGTCAAACTCACCCATCAAAGTTAGGGGGCGGGGTTAACGTGAATCGAGTCTCTGGAATCGATTTGCTTCGCCTTAATGTGCAGGGTGACCAATCAGGTGTTAGATAACCGCCCCCTAACTTTGCTGGGTGAGTTTGACAGATTCTTTTAATGGTTTGGATGCACTGCGACACAGGACCATGAAATAATTAAATGCACACTGAAATAATTATATATATTTTTT